AAGGACGTTGAGCGCTACAAAAGTGAAAGGTAGGGACGTTTTGCACCACAAAATGAAATTTTGGACGTTTTCCACAATAGACCTCAAAGATGTGGACGTTTTGTGCTAATTAGCCATTTTAAAATATAAGATAATGATTCCGAAATTATTGGGAGCAAAAAATCATAACTCAAGCCGACCAATTTTATGAATCGTGCTACATATACATCACTTTTTACATTATGTCACGTAGCAACATGATATTGAACAATTTAAAAAAATAAAAAGTTTTTTCACAAATCAAATCGTGCTAACTTGGATGACGTCAAAAGTGATGTACACTTTTGATGTACAAATGAGTTGAGTCCAAATTTCATTGTTTTCATATTGACATCTAGTGGCTAAAAAAGGAGTCCTCTGAATACAATGTCTTGAGTTGCTATATTTATATTCAAAATTTTGCAAATATATTATTCCATATGATATTACATTGGCGGATCCAGTACTCGACGAGCCTCAATGCCTGCATGTGCTAAATCCATCAAGAACAGTTTTTTTTGTTGATACTAGATAAATTTTTTAGCTTATATAACTGGTAATTAAATTTTTTTTTAGTCATTTCTTGTATCTCAGTTGGTTAGAACTTGCATGTTCATATTGGAAGTCTCGATTTTGAATCCCTTCCCAACCAATTTATTGTGAAATATTTTTAGTTCTACAATTTTTACCAAAATCAACGCAATAGGGAGGGGATTCGAATCTGTAACCTCTCTTTAAGATTATTGAAAGTTTGACCATTATGACATTTGTTGAATTTTGACTCTAAATTTACCAGAATAATATATCTTACATTTAGCTTTGTTAATGTAATTGTAAATATTCGAATCCATGATCTTCCTTGAATTATCCAAAACTTAGCTACAATATCATTTGGTGAATATTGCTAATTTGTACAACAAAATTATATATGTTAAGTTTGAACAAATAATTGTTAATTTAAATTTTAAACCTGGTTTGATTTTTTTTTTTTTCAAAATATATTTTTCTCTTCTTTTCAATCACACATTTTCAATAAAATAATATTACATGCAAATTCAAAAAATTTCCTTATTTTTAACCCCATATTCTCCATCAAATCACTATTCAGAATGTATTTTTTGCAAAAAAATGGGCATCAAATGGGACTCTTAATATTTTATTGTTGCCAACGGTCGACGGTTAACGATCGTCCGTGATGACTCAAAATTCTAGATCCGCCAGTGATGATATGCATCGTCTTTTACTGGAATATAAATTTGACTTCAAAGTTCAAATGCTGCTTAGCCACTTTGCATGCTTATATTCCAAATTTTGCAAATATAATATTGCAAGGGATAAATTTACATATTTGACTTCAATACTTGCATTTTTGCAATGTAAGTGAAATTATGTATTCAATTCGAGCTGTGAATTACTATTATCTCCCTTGTCACAGATAGCTTGGCTACTAAAGGCACCACGCTTTTTTCTCATGCCAAAAACTAAGCTATAGATGAAGTACAAATTATTCATTTGTAAATAACTTTTTTATAACCTTGAAAAGGGAGAACATTTTTTTATTTCGTCAACTGTAACTCCGAGTTTGCGATATTTGACATCTTTGGCTTTTATTTCAGAAGGTGACATAGACCAATTGCTGCTTTATAAAATATTTTTGTTAAGCTGACTTCAAAGTTTAAATTCTACTAAGTCATTTTTTGAAGGCTTGCATTCAAAGTTTTGCAAATATATTATTCGAAGTGATAAATTTGTCAATATTGTAAAATGTGCAGCCCACTTTAGTCAGAATATTCTAGGAAATAATATTAATCCCATATTTGATAAAGCTTAAAATTCAAAATTTAATCAATGTCAATTTCAAAAATTTATTTTAGTCGCACATTATGTGGGACTCATAACTTTTCAATAGTACATTTATCAACTTTTATCAAAATCTACTAAAATTGTGATTTTAATCCTTATCAAATAGGGACTAATTTACTATGTTGGAACAATTTTAACGTAGCAAGCAAAGAGCCCACATATTTTGACCGCGAAGGTCAGTGCTTCAAGATGATATTTTTTAGAGAGAGGATAGGTGTATCGGCGGTGGGTGACAAACACCCTGACCGGCTACTCACATTAGAGGGGCCCACATTTTTTTTCAATTTTTTATTCATGTGGGGTCAGCCATCATGTGAGAGTTTGCCAACTTTTTGTCAAATTTTTTTGTACGAGTATGTTTTTTCTATTTTTTATTATATAGTATAAGATTTAAATTAAAATTTGAATAACGAGTGAAAGATAATTCTATTCAATTTTAGCAATGCTTAGTATCAATTTATATGGTAGTAATTTCGTTGACATATGGCTGATGCTAAGCACTATTGGAACTAAATAACATTATTCATAAGTAAAACTAGTAATTGTGATCTTACAAAATATGTAAGTAAAAAGTATGTTTATTTGAATTGTAATTTGAACTTAACCAAATTAACATGCATTTTATTTCTTTTTATTAGCATTTTTATCTCTCATTTGTTTTTAATAACACATTCTACAATAAAATAATGTTACATGTAAACCCAAAATTTCTCATTATTTTTCAAACACGCATTCTTCAAAAAAATCAATATTTTAAAATA